CCTTAACTTTAAAACCAAACTAAATTTTCTACACTTTTAAAATAAAAATGTTTGGGCTCAGTAAGATTTTATTTTTTAAATTAAATACTTTTATTCATCAAGAATGCATTAAATGAATCAAAAGTGACTGAAGACATTTATAATGTTACAAAAGATCTGATGCAGTTATTTTAAATGTTCTATTCATCAAAGAATCCTGAAAAAAATCAGTTTCCACAAAAATATCAAGCAGCACAAATGTATTCAATATTGATAATAATAAGAAATGCTTCCAAATCAGCATGTTAGACTAATTTCTGAAGGATCATGTGACCAAAGGGACCAAAAGAGACACTTTGTCAGATTTACACATTTTTTTCCCTAAAATATAGTTAAGTGGAAACACACCCAGATGCTGATACATAACCTTTTGCAAATATATTATCAGGATTAGACCCTCCACATTGATTAAACAGAAAAATAAACCACTTTAGACTAAAGAGAGCAAGACAAACAGAAAGACAGAAAAGAAGAAACTCTACAGATCGATTACTCTATTTCATTAGAAATGCACCATCTGGCACCACAGGGCAAGAGGAGACTGTGGGAAACCCCCTGTCATAGCACACACACACACACACCATCTGTGCCAGTCATTTCCAACTGTTGTCTGAATTTCAAACTAATGTCAAACTTGGAAAAAAGTTTTAGCTTTTGTGACAGAGAGCTGCATTTCACAAAAAGCTTTACTTTTTTCTGGAACAGACTGTATTTAGCCAGAGATTTACACTTGCTGATTTGGGGATACAGAAAGACAAAGTGAGCCGTGAAATTGTTAGAAGAACGGAAAATTATGAAGGCGAAAAAGGCGAAAACCACAGTTTTACTTATTGGAGGATTGATAATTACAATGCATGACAAATATCCAAATAATGCAAAAGCCTCTAGTAAAAGCTGCAGTTGAAATGTGCAGTTTTCAGCATCAAAGACTTTTTTCAGGATTCTGTGATGAACAGAAAGTTTAAAAGATCAGCCTTTAACTGTGAAATAGAAATCTTTTGTAACATTATACTCTAAATGTTTTGACTGTCACTTATGAACAGTAGTGCATGTAAATTCATGTTGAGTTTTTCTCAGTCAGAAGTCTTGAGTCCACTGTGATTTTTACGATGCTATAGCATAATACTGTTTCCAACTCAAGCGCCTCCTCTCTCCTGTAGTGCACAGAGGGACTCTATGAGAAGCTGTGGCCACTAATGGGGATTATAATTATAATGCTGATTAGCATATTGCAGTCAGACTGTGAGCAATCATATAAGTTACCACATATGGCCACTGATTTAAGATTCTCTCCACACACGTCAATAGCATTACTTACTGTAGCGAGTTCATCAAACTTCCCAAAGAGCTCGTTCAGCAGTTTGACCAGCTCCTGGGCTGTGCACTGTGAAGCTAGACTGGTAAAGCCCACAATGTCTGCAAACAGGATGCTGCACAGAACAAGAGGACAACAGATTATGGTGATCCACATGAGACCTTACAGTGTTACACCTACACTGTTCGTTGTAACGGCATGTGGACGACTCACAATCAAAGCGTTTTATCAGAAACATGTTTTTGAATGAACATACAGTATATAGGGTCTACTGAATCTGTTGGACTTTTTCATGAAAACATTACAGTCATTCAGATTAGCCCAGGCCAAGGGTCCACAGGGTACTTAGCTCACCGTGAGTTTGACCCAACTGAGGGGTCAAGGTTTGGCTGGTTAGTGTAGTCTAATTAAACACTCAGCATTGTATCATTCAATTATCATGTTGGTAGTGTTATTATTGTTAACAAAAACTAAATAAAAATGCAATGACACAGAAATAGCGACAGATCTTGTATAACTGTATTGTGGTGAACATTTGGGTTCTCGAAAAAAAGTACAGTAGGGCGACGAGTTGGTTGATTGAATGAAGGTAGATCTGAATGTGAGTTTCCAGTCGACTCTAAGAAAAGTGGGTAACGCTTTAGATTAAGTAAACAGAATTTACAGCGTAACTTTTTTGTAATTACAGTGTACCTATTCAGTACCTCCGTGTAGATATAAGGGAACAATATGCGAAGTTTGAGGAATAAAGGAGTAATAATCTGTAAAATTACAAATTATTTCTACTGTAAGTATTTTGAAACTAAGGGGTACCTATTCTAATATTACGTGGTATGTATGACCTAACAACAATCGTATATTTGCAAGCGATTTAGCAAAAACATACACTGTGTACTTTTTTATAGCCTACACATATAAAACACGCTGGTAATTGTTTCAATCCAAACGCTCGGTTGAGACTGTTGGGTTAGGAAGCTGGCTTGATTTGACCCAATTTGGGTTGATATCAGTAATAAGTAACCCGACGTTGCTGGGTTATGAATGTGGAGGACTGGAATGAGAGCATGCAGCAAGTCACAAGAGTTCAAACGTGAACGGTTCTGTGTGCGACGAAATCCGTGACTGCGGTGCTTAAGACGGGAACATGTGTGGAAAATAGGAGAAAACTAATCGAAGCGCAGACGAGGGACAACTTTGAAACTGTCTGGAGTGTGTTCCTTTAAAACTGCAGCAGTGAATGTGGTGAGCGC